AATAATCTAAAATAATAATGATAATAATGATGACGATAAAAACATTAAAAAAACAGCAAGAAAGAAAAATAATAATTTGAACCTCTGGGGATACTGACGATGAAACCCTATAAGAAGAAGAAACTGAACCTAGAGCAAGAGAAAAGAAATTGAACATATAACATAACATGAAAGAAGAAACATTTGAACGTATAACACGAGAGAAGAAAAAGAACCTGCACCAAGAGAAGAAATAGAACCTATAACAAGATAGAAGCATTTGAACCTAAAACAGGAGATAAGAAATAGAACCCACAACAAGAAAGAAGAAGCCATTGAACCCAAAACAAGGGAGAAGAAGAAATAGAACCCACAACAAGAAACAAAAGAAACAACAAGAAAGAAAAAGCCCATGAACCTGAAACAAGGCAGAAGAAATAGAACCCATAACAAGAGAGAAGAAGAAGAAACAGAACCCATAACAAGAAACAAATGAAACAGAACCCACAACAAGGGAGAAGCCCAAAGCCCCAGAACAAGGGAGAGGAAGAAGAAATAGAACCCACAACAAGAAAGAAACAGAGCCCAAAACAAGGGAGAAGATGCCCAAAGCCCCAAAACGAGGGAGAAGAAGAAATAGAACCCACAACAAGAAGTCTGCAACAAAGGAGAAGCCCACGAACCCCCAACACGAGGGAGAAGAAGCCCAAAGCCCCAAAACGAGGGAGAGGAAGAGATTGAACCTACAAGAAACAAAAGAAACAGAACCCACAGCAAGGGAAAAGAAGCCCAAGAGTCCCAGAACAAGGGAAAGGAAGAGGAGACTGAACACACAACAAGGGAGAGGAAGAAGAAACAGAACCCACAACAAGAAACAAAAGAAACAGAACCCACAACAAGAAACAAAAGAAACAGATCCCAGAACAAGAGAGAAAAAGCCCAAGAGCCCCAGTACAAGGGAGAGGAAGAAGAAATAGAACCCACAACAAGAAAGAAAGAAACAGAACCCACAAGGGAGAAGAAGCCCAAGTGCCCCAGAACCAGGCAATGAGCAGGAGCAGACTGCCCGGCGCCGGCTTCCCCCATTCAAACGTCGCGGGTCAAATGGTGACGTCATCGATGTCGGGCGAACCAAAACAAACGGTGACGTCATCGCCCAGCCGCCGACGACGACGAGGACGTGAGTGAATGACAGGTCGTTGCTGTGATTTATTTATTTTTTTCTTCTCTTTTTTTCTTTATTTACTGTCTTTTGTTGCTGGTTTTGGTTGGTTTATCCGAGTTGAGTAAATGTTCCTCTTTCATAAGATGAGAAGAGGTTGGTAGGTGTAACTTGAGTGGTAAAATAGAGAATTACTTTAAATGAATTGTCAAGCTTTGTGATTTAATTATTTATTTTTTTAAGTAATGGTTGGCATAAACATGACACACCTTAAAAGGAATAATGATAAAGATTAATGTTACCGAGAGAGATAGAGGGAAAAGGACACTGCCATCTTATAGAGCTTAAAAAAAAATGTAGTAGGAAGTAATGCAGGTATGTCCACATCATCCTCATATTTACCAAGAAATTACCAAAATATCCCACAACAAGAAACAAAAGAAACAGAACCCACAACAAGAAACAAAAGAAACAGAACCCACAACAAGAAAGAAAGAAACAGAACCCACAACAAGAAAGAAAGAAACAGAACCCGGTGTTAAATGAAAGAAAACCCGATATTAAGATCTCTGTAGATGTACCTACCTTGTTTTTTTTAACTCTATTTCTTATGCTTTTCCTTTTTTTTTAACTCTATTTCTTATACTTTTATAAGATGTCAGTGTCCATTTCCCTCTACCTCTGTACGTAACATTTACCCAAATCTGAACTATATATATATGTACACTTTTCACCAGGACTTAGATGTCTAGCACATTTATCTTGCTTTTAACCATTAACCCTTGACCATTGACCATTAACCATTAACCATTTTCACCGGGACACTGATAGCATTGAGGCCACTCTGATTACCATAAATACTACTACTACAATACTTGGAGAATTTGTTATTTCTGGTTATATATTGGGTTCTCCTGTTTTGCACTTTGGGTAGTATTTTCAGTCCACTAGCTTCTGTTCTAGGGGTCTGTTGCATGCCTGCTGAATAGTGTAAAGAAACTGGTTACTTTCTTGTATAACTGGTAACCTTATAAGTGTATCTGTAGTTTGATTGTTCTTGCTTATCAGGCTGTCACTATTTTGTATCTGATTTAGGGTTTTGAAGTTAATAATAAGAGTGAATATTTAAAATTTTAACTCTGTATGGCTTTTATTCTGATTTTTTTTCGGTCTGGCTTAGAAAAATGGGCATGTTAATTTTTAAGTCTTATTATATGAAAATGCAAGTATATATAACATATTACTGTAACCTCAGCCATGTCCATACTTAAGGAAAACCTGAAAAACAAAAACAAAAAATACAAATTGTGTAGAATTCTTAGAGATACTTCTTTTTATCATGCACATTGTGAGGAGCATCCATACTTGAGGAGTATGTGAAAAATATACTAAAACAATGCAGATAATGTATAGAGACATACTTTTTGTACAGACAAGAGACATTTAATTGAAAGTTACAGTTAGACAACAGGGGGAAGTGGTGTGAGAACTTGACCCTGTGAATCATAACAGCATCTCATTGTTATTGTTATTATTTTAATTGTTTTTTGTCATAGTGGTTAGAGGTGCTAGACACTTAAGGTCATGTAGCATTTGTTCTTGAATAGTGTGCAGACTAACTGGCATCTATGTGTTAAAGTGACAATATTCCAGAACTCTAAATGTGTTTCTTTGTACAGGTTGGGATGGCTGTGACTTGACGGCGATTACACAGCTGGAAGGCAAAGGGCATCGGAAAAGATGCGTGGACTGCCATTGCGCTCCCAGTCAGGGCATGTATTGATGCTGTAAATATGGCAGTTAGCGACTGAAGCTAAGTTTATCTTAGTGGCAATTCAGGACGGGATAAATGTACTGTCTCACAGGAGATTTTACAATTAGCAGGTCAGTATTATTCTGTGGTAAATGTAAACCAAATTGTACTATATTTGTCATAAAACACTGATGAATGTATTTTAAGATAGATTTCATTGTAAACAGGGGGGCGAGCTAATGTAAAGATGCAAAGATAATTACGGAATGGAATAGAGCTCGTCAAAGAGGCCTGCCAAGTAGAAACTATAATGAACAAAACCAAAGGTATGTAATTGGTGTCCAGACCTTGTAGTTTTTCCTCTTCTATAAAAGTAAGTGGAAAAAAATTATGCAAATATTTGTTAAGAGATGACAGAATGCCCCAGAGGTACACCCAGGAATATATATACATGTTATTATTATGTATTTTTTAAAAAGAAAAATTGTGGCAAGAAAAAAAAAACAATTATCATATTCAAGTCACTTTTATTTACTTTTCTGTATTTGAAATACACCAGCAATGGAATGTTTTACTTGTGTAAACAAAACCTCATGTATAACCAGTTATCATTATCATTTCTTACCCCCTTGGCCCAACCCCCTCTGGGTGGATCCTCGGGAAATCCCATTTTTGGATTGTATATAATGAAGACCATGTTGTAAAGGAAGGTGCACAGCAAAGACTAAATGTTTGTAATTGTAATAGGGCTGTGTGTGTGTGTGTGTGTGTGAGAGAGAGAGAGAGAGAGAGAGAGAGAGAGACAGAGAGAGAGACTGTGTGTGTGTGATTGAGAATAAAAGTGAATTGAGAGAGAGAGAGGGAGAGGGAAAGAGAGTGCTGTCTGAGAGGAGTGCTGAAATGTAAACGGGTGTATTCCAGATTTTTGGAAGATGAAACTCTTTACTTGTTGATTACAGCCATCACTTCTACTACCGGTGGGATCCTGGCAACAGCTAAAGTACTTGATAATTCAGCCATCCTTCTTCTGTGTTCTTTATCAGTGTCTGATCTTTTTCCGTGCCTTTCTTTTCCAGATCGCCGCTGCAAATGGTGTGGCATAGTATACAGCTACAAAGAGAGCTGGTATGTCATGTGCCATATAAAAGTGTGCAGAAAGCTTGTTGACACGGGAGAGGCATCTTGCGCCTTACAAAGTGCTTGTGATGAGGCGTCACCTTCACCACAACATGATATGTCTTTTGAAGAAGTGTATAAAAGATTTATTGAGAATGAAAGGATGAAAGACCAGATGATTCACTCTGTGGAAAAGGCATTTACCTGCACGGAGTGTGGGAAAAAGTTCGAGCGGGCTGCCACTCTGAAGAAACATAGAGAGACTCACTCTGCAGAATACTTATTTGAGTGTTCTAAGTGTGGGAAAAGGTTTAGGGAAAACGACACCCTAGAGATACACAGGACAAAGCACACTCGACAAAAGAAATTAGAGTGTTCAGAATGTGGGAAAAAGTTTATTTCGCAGACTCCTCTGAAGCGCCACCTGTTGGCTCACTGTGGAGTAAAACCATTTAAGTGTTCTGGGTGTGGGAAAAAGTTTACGTCAAAGGGTTCTCTGAACTTGCACCAACAGAGTCATTTAGAAGCGAAAATGTTCAAGTGCTCCATGTGTGAGGAATGGTTTAATCAACGTTGTCTGCTGACGAGACACCAGAGGGGTCACACTGAAGAAAACTCCTAAGACAAAACCAATTAAGTATTCCGACTCCGGAAATAAAATTTAACGAAAGTGGTGATCTGGTGGAAAAAAAAAAACTTTTGAGCATTCTGAGTGCAGGGAAAAGCTTGAATGGAAGTGATAATAAACCAAAGAGACACCAGATCATTCACAAAAGAGTTGTAGATGATTTGTCGCATTTGCACATCTGACTTCGGATGTAAACAGAAGTATGGCAACAAAGGGAACTATATCTCTTTATGTTTTCATTGTGGAGGCCCAAACGACTCTTTAATTCCTTTCTGAATGATTCATTATTTTTTACTGTAAATTATAAGAATCAAAGAAATTACTCCCAGAGTGTCATTTTCTTGTTTCAAATATAAAGCTATTTGTAATTATATGTGTTTTACACCCTATATATATATATTTCATAAGGTCTAAATTCTCCACCTTCCCCCCTCTCCCATCTCAGCACATAGCTCATCATAGCTGCCACTCCACATCCTAACAGTGAAACCAGAACTAAACATCACATCCACTGCAACCACCCTCATTGTTGGGGGGGGGGGGCTTAGGAGGTGGAGACCATACCTCATTCCTCACCTCAACTAATTTTGCTTGGTCTTTTCTTCTCCCCCTTTCCTTTTCATTTTTCTTTATACCTTTCTTCTGTCTACTTCCTAAGCTGTGAGAGCTTTGCTGAAAGGATGAAAGGTTATCAACTAGCTTATCTAAATTTGATTTTATCGGTTTCTCGAACCCTGCCTCTCCTTTGACCATTGCCCTGCCTCTCCTTTGACCACTGACACTAATACCCCTTCCTCAGTGCTTACTGTCGACTCTGTCCATTCTGAATCATCCATTCAGGTCATTACTCAACCTTTAGAATACACCCCATCCTCTCTCCCAACATCCTATATCTGCTAGTGTTCTACGTTTACCCCCACCCCTTTATTACTACTTTTCTTCCTTCTTGTCCTCCTCCCAATAGTACTACCTCTCTCCATGCCACCTCATCTTCCTCAAGCCCATGTCCTGCTGCTTCCAATTCTGCACATCTTTTGAGTACCCTTTTTTTGTTCCCAGCCAAGTGGGATCAATTCTTTGGGATTCCCTCTACAGTCCCATGCAAGTGCACTATTTATCCTGACTGACCTCACTGGCAAACCTATTCCTGTCCAACCTTAAAGTTAATTAATGCTTAATTAACTTTTCCATCTCCCCGACTGATTGTCCTGTCTCCGGTTAGACTGTGAAAACAACTTGCTCGCATACCTCGTTGACTATGATGTAATAGCAGTCCAGTTACACTATTCCTCTCAGTGGCCAACGCAAGTCCTATGCTAATATTGCCAAGATTAGCTTTCATAGACATGACCTCCCTCATGAGATTTGTATTGGTGGAGTGTCCTTCCCTTTCCGACCATATCGACCCTTTCCCCGTCAATATCAGAAATGTTGGCGTTTTGACCGCCCGGCCAGACACTGTCGCTCCACAGCTCTCTTTGTGCCTAACCTGGTCATGGCTGTTCAAACTGCTCTGCTCAGTCCATTGTGGCGGCTCCCATAAAGTATTTCATAGGAGCTGCCCTGCCTAGAAGCTCGAATCTGAGGTAGCAGTTCTCAGATTCAAACAAGGCCTCACTCTGCGTGAAGCCAGACAAGAAACACGCCGACGAGGTTTTTCTCTTTCTAACTATTCCAAAACTGTACTTCGCTCCGCTCCCCTCCCATCTTCTCAAGCAGTCTCAGCATCTCTCTCAGTATCTCTTCCCACTACCCCGAGCTATCCTATCTCGTACTCCCTCTCTCCCCCAGTCAAATTCCTTTTCCAGTCTAAATACAGATACTCCTATCTCTATCACTTCCCCGGTGCCTACCCCTCCTCCCTCTCACTCTACCTGTCGCACCAGACAAATCTTAACGTTCCTCCCTATCTTCCACCACATCTACATCCACCTCTCCCTCTGCTCTTTGGATATCTATTCCCTCTTCTTCTCCTCCGCATAAGAAAACCTCTATTTCTCAGACCTTCCCTCTTGAAACTCTTGAAGACACCCAAGGCTACCGAAACATGACTCAAGAGAATGATCGACTCCCTCATCCTGCCTCTTATCCCTTCATTCCTATTCACTCAGCATTCAAAGTATTTGCCGATATCCATCCTCTTCCTCTTCAAGTTCTCCCCTTCCTCTTTTCCTCCCACTCCCCCCAAAAAACACCCCGTCCTCTCCTCCATGTGCATCATCATTCCCTCTTTCTTCCCCATTATCCTTACCCCTTCTACGTGGATGCTCACGTGACTCTCTTATGCCACAACAATGTCCTTCTCCGGATCCTTCTCCCTCCTGACATTCTTCCCTTTTTTCCATCATTTCATTCTCTGGATTCTCTTATTTCTACAACTACCATTTCTACCCGAAATTACCCTCTGATCGTTTCATAATTTCCCCATTCGCAGTTCCCCCCCCCCCCCCTCCCTATACCTTTTTCACTACTATTGTATCCTACAGCATTCTACATCCTGTGACATCTCACGCATCTTAGACTGATCGTTAACCCTTTCTCGCCATAATACTTTACCATAGTGCTATATGCCCTTTGGTGTCTAGCACATTTATTTCTTCTAACCATTAACCATGTATATATATATGTGCGTGCGTGCGTGCGTGCGTGTGTGTGTGTGTGTGTGTGTGTGTGTGTGTGTGTGTGTGTGTGTGTGTGTGTGTGTGTGTGTGTGCATAAAAGTGGTGGACATAATAGGTGATTTGTTATCGATCACAGCGTGAAATATCTTAGCAATATAATTTCCAGTAATCGATTACCAAACGATTACTCAGAATCAGTCTTGAACTGAGGGCCGTCTCAATAAATCTGTCAAACACTTTTTTCTTTGCTTTTTTTTAATTCTACATGATGGTATAAGTTATTTGTACGAATGACTGATTAAGAAGTAACATTTGACATCTATAAGGTATCTCTTACAGATGTCAAATAACAAGGGAATGGGGATCCAAGTATAGGGGTAACGGTGATAATTTACACAAATAGAAAAAGAAAAATCAAGAGACCGTTTAAAAATAAAAGTCAATTCAATTGCTTATACTTTATTGGTCTACACATTCGAGTCGTTGGCGCGGGCGTGTCGGGAGGGAGCCTCAGCCGACGGGGAAGGAGCCTCAGCCGACGGGGAAGGAGACGAGGCCGTGGTCGGTTCGGTCCTGGAGGGTCTTCAGCGCCTCCTGCTGCTGCTGCCTCGTGTCCGAACACTCGCCGGTAGCCACGTAGTGCCAGCACCATCCTCCCTGTGGGTGGGTAGGGGTGGAGGGGGGGGAGCCGGGGTTAGTTGGGCTTGTTGGCTCAGGCGGGGAGGCTCAGCCTGGCCTTCTACAAGCTTTCTAACAACGCAAATGGCTTCAGTATTAGCCGTCAGAACAAAGCATTAGTACTCACGCTGTATCCGTGCTCGTAGGCATACGCGTACAGGTCGGGGAGCGAAGTCCCGGCAGCGCAAACGGACGCGTACTCCCCCAGCACGACCGGCTTTCCGAGGCCGTAGTCATCGGCGTTCACCTGGAGGCCGAGGCGGGGGAGGGGGGGGTGGCGGTGAGTTTCGGTGCTTCGCTCTCTCTCTCTCTCTCTCTCTCTCTCTCTCTCTCTCTCTCTCTCTCTCTCTCTCTCTCTCTCTCTCTCTCTTTCTTTCTCTCTCATCAACAGCTGCTTCTCTCACTTCCTTTTATTCCTTCTCATTTTGCCTCCTTGTTTTCCGTCAGGTTCTCCCCGCCTCTCCCTCCCGGTTCCCACATCTTCATCTGCATCCTTATTTATTCTATTTTACCTCAGTTTACATCTCAGTGATTTTTTGTTCGCTCACTAGCTATACCATTCCCTCCCTGACTCACTCCTTCCCTCCCTGACTAACTCCTTCGCACCCTGACTCCCTCATTCCCTCCCTGACTCATTCTTTCCCTCACAGACTCCCTATTTCTCTCCCAGACTCAATCCTTAGCTCCCTGACTAAGTACTTTCCTCCCTAGCTCATTTCTCCCCTCCTTGACTCAATCCTTCACTCCCTGACTCACTCCTCCCCTCCCTGACTCATTCCTTCCCTCCTTGACTAACTCCTTCGCACCCTGACTCACTCCTTCCCTCCCTGACTCACTCCTTTCCTCCCTGATTGACTCCTTTCCTCCCTGACTCACTCCTTTCCTCCCAGTTCGACTCCTTCCCTCCCTGACTGACCGTGAAGGGCGCGTTGGGACTCCAGGATCCCCCCCAGTCGTAGGCGTGCATCTGGAAGAAATCGAGATGGGCGTCGCTTCCTCCCGCGGCCTTGTTCAGGCATTCGTCGGTGTAGTGGTTGTGGGTGTTGGGGAAGGCGTCACTCTGCGCGAACTGGCCTGGGGAAGGACCGCGAGTGGAGGCATCATAAGGGAAAGCTCTTGTCAGCCATTTCTTAGTTACTCTCTCTCTCTCTTTCATACTCTTCCACTGTTTATTTATCTTGGCGAGACACACACTCTTCCCTCTCCCTCTTCCTCTCCTCTTCCTCTCTCTCATTCTTACCCCAAGATCCAAGCGTGATCAGAACCTCAGGGTCGATGGCTCGAATCGCCTGGTTCTGACGCCCGATGAACCTCAGGTACCTGTGTGTCGCGTGAGCTTTCAATAACCTTTTAATGACTGTCTGATTAAATTGAATAATGATTCGTGTTGAAAACTACGATTTAGAAATATCCCAAAATACTTTACTTCATTGTTGCTACCTTGATATGATATAAATATGAGATTCAAAGATAGAGAAGATAAGACATGGACGCCCAGACGAAGCTCACCGTTCCATGGGGATGTAGAGGCCGGTCCAGCCAGCGCCACTCTGGCCGATGATGGTCGTGTCGTAGCAAGGCTCGGAGTCGCTTGAGACCTGAGGACGAAGCTTCCAAGTTCAGTCGTTTTTACGCGACATATAATGGCTTTTAACTCCTTTCTCTAATTTCACAATGTTGAGGAACAAGCAACGTGCCAACGACAGAAACTGCCAGGCGATTTCCTCACCAAGATGGATCCCTCAGGTTCGTTGACCACCTCGAAGGCCCCCAGCGCCGGGTGGCCCTTGACCTGCGTCACCAGACTCTGTGGCGGGAGATTGCAAACGGACTGAGCAACGAGGGGATAGAATGCACTTAAATAAGCACAAAACTGAGGCACAAAGAGAAATGAATGGAGAGCGAGCTTGCACCAAACACCATGCATGAGCGTCAGGCAGTGTGCTGTGCATGGCCATTGGCATACGTGTTACGCAAAGAGACTGACGTTGAGGCAGTTGTCGATGTAGGCGTCGAGCTTGGAGTCGTCCCAGATGAGGTCGATGGCCGCCTGGTTGGTCAGG